GAAAATAAAAACTTCCTTCTCACTTTCAACAACTTGTCCGAAGAGGAACACTTAATCTAGAAAGAGCGCTTAAGATGGAGTGTTTCTTATCACAACCCTTTTCCGTAGAAGAAGTATTTATTGGTTCCCCGGGGAATATGTTCGCCTGGCAGAAACAATTAGAGGATTTAAAGTGATTCTTTCCGGATAGTTAGACGGTCTTCCTGAACAGGCCTTTTGGTAGGTAATATCGATGAAGCTACTGCAAAGGCTGCGAACTTAGAAATGGAGAGCAAATTGAAGAAATTACTTTAATCTGTGTACTTACCCCTAATCAAATTGTTTGGGATTCAAAAGTGAAAGAAATCATTTTATCTACTAATAGCGGATAAATTGGCATTTTAACAAATCGCGTGCCTATTGCCACAGCTGTAGATATAGGTATTTTGAGAAAACGCATTAAGACCTCGACGAACAATATTTAACCATGACTCCAATGGGTGGTTTTGCTAGAATAGGCAACAATGAAATCATATTACAATATTGTGAATCTTAGCAGGTTAAATAAAAAAGCCTCGCATACGCCATTTATAATAACAGGCACAGAACAGTGCGATGCCCAAAAGAGAATTGTTAGCTTATGATAAAGTATTGAATGTAAATTAATGCATTTGATATAATTAAAAAAATGAATGAGAGAGTCAAAAATTTAGAGAGAGAATGAGCGAATGAATGAACGAATGGTCAGTTTGCTGTGGGGGAGAAATGGACGATTTTCGTTGATAATCTTAGCAAGAGGGTTACAAGAGGTGAATTAAGGGAAATATTTTAGCATTACGATCAAGTTGTGAGGATTTTCATTCCAAATTTTACTCAGAACCGAAATACAAGAACTACACTTTCGCGTTGTTCAGTTTGCAAGTGAGGAAGGGGAGGAGGGCTATTCAGTGTGTTAACAGAACTTGGATCGATGGGAAAAGAGTTTCAGTCGGGTTAGAAAAGTATCAGAACAACAGGAATAGAGAAGTTACTGAAGGCAGGTCTACGAGGGATGAGCCAATCCCAATAAGGGTGGAGAAAACAAATGGTGAGAAGCACGCTGGATCTTTGAGAAACCTGAGGGATAGTAGATCATACAAGGAGGTGGTGGAAACAACCAATAGAGAGGATTGCAGAAATATCAATAAAGAGGATGGTCAAAGGATAAGGAAGGCTGCTAATGGGATAAGGAATGTCTGGGAGATGCATATCTCCTCGGAGGATTCGACTTGGGTGAAAAGGTCTTTAACAGGGGTAATCAAGCATTCCTTCGAGCAAGAATTTGTTCAAAAAGCTTTGGCAAGTGAAGGAATTCAGGTGAAAATAGCGAGATGGGGCTACGCATGGAATGCCTGTGTTGTAACCTTTAAATTGATTGAAGACTACTCTGATACATGGGCAAGAAAACAGGAGGAGATCTGTTTTTTGGTTTGATTGGCTGGAGCCATTGCTAAACGAGGAGGGAGTTCCATTGGCGTTCTGTCTCGTGGAATTAATGGGATTACCGTTATTATGCTGGAATGTAGAGTTCTTGGAGAAACTTGTTCAGAAATGGGGAAAGTTCATTGGCATCTTAGATTCTTCAAAGAACAGGTCAGATTTATCGTCGGCAAGAGTTTTGATCAGGGTCGCCAGTCCGTTTGATGTCCCTGAAATGCTCACAATAGGGTCTTACGGTAGATCATACAAGGTCAAAGCCATACTGGGATCGGTATTTTTAAAACCGGAGGAGTTTTCCGGGGGGATTGATGGTGAAAATTCAAATTACGGGTACAGTGAAAATCATTTTCCCGAGGAAGAGTGTGGCCGCCGTCTGACTTTGGAACAAGTTGAAAATTTTAAGTCTTCTGAAGACTCTATGCTGAAGAAAGACAACTGGCATGATCAGGAACAGAGGAGTAGGTTGCAAAAGGGGATGGGGAGTAGCTTTTACCAAAAAAGTCAAATATGGATATTTTTGATGTTGGGTTGTCAGAGATGCGGGAAAAAGGAAAATATCCTGCTGGGGAGCATGCGGGACTTGGTCTCAGGGAAGAATTGGGCCTAGACTCTCAAGCCCAAGATTGTAACAGTTTGATTTCTGAATCAAGCATGAAGATTCTGTGTCCTCCAGGGCCTGCGTATAATCTGAAATGGATTGTCGAAGGGTCCAAAGGCAGATTTATTCCCCAATTAAACAGGGAATGGATCAAGTCCAATGAAGAATCGATAAAGGACGTAGTGGTCTTGGACAACGAGGTTACGAACGCAAAAGGAGTGGAGGAGGAAAAGGATGATGTTTCAATTAAAACTGTTAGAACTCAACCAATGGAATTACGTAAGGGGACGTTTTCTAATGGTCAGAGGAGCTGGAGTCCGTTGGTTCATTTGTCCAGAAGTTTGGCTTTGACGAGTGTTCCGGTGGGAAGATGGAATAGAGGAACTTGTAATAGAGTATATAGAAGATCAAAAGATAGAAATTCTGGTATGATCCGATAGAAGAAGAGTTGTTGCGACCAGCTGAGGTACTGGACCAAAATAAAAGCTTCTAATTCTTTATTGACCACCCAACCGCTCCCAATTTTAGAGGAAGATGAATAATTAGCGACAATGAGGAAGGAGGTCCCTCTAAAAGTAGTAGGAGACTTGGACCAGCATTCAGGGAATAGAGTAGTGCCTCGATCAGATTGTCAGTCTCGAGCAGTTATAGGGAAAGAGAGTAGGCGACAGAGAAGGATTTTTTGACTAAGGAAGCTTTGGAGGTGGCTTTTACACACAGTTTCTTCTCCCTCCTTTCGATGTTTTTGGAAGAAGTGGCTACGTGGGAGGTTAGTACGTTGCTGGGGATCTCATTTAAAAGGCAAGAAGGTGTTTTTAGATAAAATTATTGATCTTGAGGAAGGATTGGGGGTTAGTAGGAATTGTTGAAATAAGGGGTTTTGCTATTGTGCTTTTTTGATTTGAGGTTCTTGGGATATTTTATATTGCGTAACTTAATATTATTTCGTGGAACATAAGGGGGTTGAGGAAGAAGGAAAAAAAAAGAGTTGTAGCTAAGTTGGTCAGGAAGAATAAGCCGAGCATTCTACTTATTCAAGAAACAAAGCTAGAAACTGTTCTATGGCTCTAAGGAGATAGAGGGTTGTCTTCTCGAGGGATGTATTTTTTTCACCAGCTGTTGGGTCTGCAGGGGTTTGCTGGTAATGTGGAATGATAATGAATTTAAAGTGTCCAGTAGTTACTTAAGTAGCAGGATCATTGCAATATTTGGGAAGTTTAAGAATATTGTTGAAGAGTGTGTGATTATGAATATTTATGGTCCCTCCACTGAATCTGAAAATGATGAATTCTACAGGTAATTACTGGAGTTTGTTTCAGCCCAATCGAATCTACTTTGTATTGGGGGGACTTTAATACGTATCTTGATCCGGCTGAGAAGATAGGAAGGTCTCAAAATTGGCATTCTGTTGATATATTTAGGAATTTTCTATAGCAAACAAATTTAATTGATCTTCCGTTGGTGGGAGGAACTTTTACTTGGTGTAACTACAGGGAAGAATCAACCTGGGTTAGGCTTGACAGGTTCTTAATTTCTGGTAATTTTTTGACCTGCTTTCCGAACGTAGTTCAAAGGCTACTGCCTAGGTCCATATCAGATCATAATCCGGTGTCATTGGAGGATTCGTATGTAGTCTGGGGTCCTAAACCATTCAGATTTTACAATTATTTATTAGAGGAAGAAGGCTTCGAGGAATTGGTTAAATCTTCAATGGTTGACTTGATGGAAAGGAATAATAGAAGGGGTATCTTCAGTATTTTACAGGGAACTAAAAAATCAATCAGAAACTGGTCAAGCAGGAAATTTAATGGGATTTCAGACTCTATCGAAACTTTAGAAGGGCGAATTAATGAGTTAGAATTGAAGGCACAAGGTAGTAATCTTTCTCCGCAGGAGTGGGAACAGGTGAAGCAGTTTAGATCAAATCTCTGGAGGTTGTACAGGATTGAAGAAAGTGTTTGGTTTCAAAGAGCAAGAACGAGATGGATCAAATGAGGGGACAGAAATACTAGATTTTTCCACTTGTGTGCTCTAAACAGAAACAGGAGAAATGCAATTACTAGTCTGAAGATTAATGGGGAGGCAGATAGTTTAGCAAAGCAGGGGATCGGTTGATTGTATGTTTTAGTTATAGTTTATTTTTCTATGGCTGTAGGTTCTTGAAGTAGCTGAAGTTGTTAAGTCTAATGTAAAATCATCTGCTGTATTGTTAAGTCTTATGTAATTCCGGTTTGGTAATAAAATGAGGCACTCTTTTCCTCCCTCCACTACTTGATCCTTTCTGTTAGGAAAGGGTCAACTATGAGGGAGGTTTTTAACGAGGCTTCCTATTCCTATCAAAAAAAAAAAAAACTGTGTAATGTAACATCATTCTCATGTAATCCAAGTCAAATCATAAATAAATATTCAGAAGCTAAAAAGGTGATGGTAAAAGAAGATGATATCAAAATAATGTAACATAAATCCAGGTTACATTTTCAAGTAGAATAGCATAGTGATTTCATCTAGTGCTTATACAGAATACATTACCACAAAATCTTGGTAATCCACAATGTTGCTGACATAGTTTCTACTGACTGTCACTTTCAGTATATACCCACACATTTGCAATAATGTTTAGATAGATCAGTTTCATGTTTATATCCTATTATAAAGGATCCTTGAATACTACACTTCAAACATTCAGTAATGATAATATTTCAACTAAAACTCGATCACAAACAACAAATTGAATTTAAAAAAGAAAACTAGACACTAGTGAAAGAACGAGTAAAAAGTTTAAATAGCCAAACTTATGCTTATGTCCTTCACAATTTAGCATGGCAGGGATACCACTAAGCACTGTAACTTTGAAAAAGGGAAATTGCTCACAAAAAGTAACTTCTAGAGGCATGAAAACTTATCACAAGAGTCGACTAATAAATTAAATGAATAGCCTACCTAAGTCTAACATTCACTCTGTTATAAGACTCATATGGCATCTCCACCGTTGAAAATTCAAATGAATATGCTTTTCTTTCGTATAATTCACCAGGAACATCAAGTTCGCGTACTGCCAAAAAAATGTGAGAAAAAATGAATAGTATAACTTTTAAGGATCCATAAAACTTTTAATTAAACTAAAGACATCTTAAGCCTTTTCTTTAAGGTCAAATACACTCACCAAGAGAGGTGAAATCATAGAAGTTGCCTCTGTCAAAATACAATTCTGCAAAGAAGAGAAAAAATGTCATGGTCCAAGTATAGTGGCATCATCTGTATGGAGATGACCTTTCCAAAATTACACACATTGTTCACAAAATTGGAAATAAAAAAATATCACTGACAATTTAAGTAGACAACAGAATCAACTATAACAAAGAGAAAAACAACAGAACAGTAACTAGAACTAAAGATTGACTTGAGCTAACTTTTATACATCTATATATTTTCTTCTTAGGCTAAACTGTACTATATAACATATAAAGATTAAAAGAAGTAATGGAAACCATATGCATATCCCAGCTAACAGTCAAATGGAAGATCTAAAACGAATGTATGAAGCAAATGAAGCACACCTATCTGACCAAGGAGCTCAATTTTAACACCATTTTGTTCAACCTTCTTCCCATGTATTGGTTCTATAACCACCTGAAACATCAGCAATAATAAATAAAATATGGATACAGTTTTGACTACAAATAATAACAAAACGTTTTGGATATGATAAGCAGATAAACTCAATCATAAGATCCTAAATGGAAACACGAAAAACACTACCTCTCCTACAATATTTTCTTGGCTCTGAAAGAGAGCAGCCGTAACTGTTTTCCCATTTTCCTTCTTTAACCTACAAAATAACATTGATCTAAGTGTATGAAGGAAAATCATGTGAATAAAACGGGGGGAATAAACCAGACTAGATCACAACATTACTTGTAACATATTTGTGTACAAAATTGTAAAATCATGCATTTTGCCTTGTATCTAAAAGCAAACTTTTGCTTTTCACCTAAATTTCATAAGCAATATACACCTGCTTGCGGCTTCTTCCACCAGCAAATGAAATGAAAATATTACACGGCTGTTTGAAAGCTCCAACTAGGTAATTCTGCAAGAAAACAAATAGATAAACAAGCTTTTCACTTAACCATTATGTTGGGAAAGTAAAAAAAAGAAGAAGAAGCTATTTCCTGAGAAATTGATAGTTTAATACCATGATGCTTTAGTGAGTCCTGAATCAAGATTTTTGCTCAGCATGAAGAACCTAGAAACAGAAACATAAATCATTGAAAATTTGAAATCAATTAACATAATTTTTTTTTGCAAAATTAGAAAGAAAAAAGGGACTAAAATAAAACTTCTAATCAAATTCAAAATTCCACCATTTTCTTACTTTCCCTGGGGAAGCCTTAGCACTGGAATCAGATCATAAAAACAAGGAAAGGGAATGTGGGGTAATACCTTAATTAGGGATCTAAGAGAAGGAGAAACGTTTGACTGCTGAATCGAGAGCAGATCAGCGGTAACAAAACTTGTAAATAAATGTAATTACTGTTCCTTTGCTTTTGCTAGCTACCAGTCAGCCTTCTTTCGGGTCTTCGACGATTTTCACAGTTTGAAAATTTTCACGTTTTAAATTGGGTATACTACATGTCTACATCATATAGTGATATATGGTTTATATTATTAAACTTTCCATTATTTCCATTATAATTTTTTATTTAATTATATATTAGGCCGTTGATTCGGTAACCGCTCTATAACATAGCTGAAAATGACAAATGTTCTGCAGGAGGCTTAAACCTGGATAATTTAAAAAAATAAGCATCAAACCAACTTAAATATATGATTTTCAGGCCCTTATACCCATTTAATTAGTTAATTAATTTAAGGACCTTAATGACCCAAATCCAGAAATGTAAACGGATGCACTAACTCTCTTGGGACCAAGTGCATCGAATTATTTTAGAAAAATAATTAAATTTAGTTTAATGTATCAAAGAAAAAATTACAACCCCAATATTTTTAGGTTTAATATAAAAATAAGTGTTTAAATAATATCTCGAAAAACGTTTTGGTACCTCAAGAAATTTTTGTTAAAAATAGGTTCCTAACTGTAGACACTCATTTTCTTAAAAGATAAAACTAGCAAGAGTTCATCTCCTAAGAGGACTCTTCCACCACCATATCTTTTAAAACAACAACCACACCAACAAACGTGCAACAACCGAGTAAGGAGTCTAGTTGCATTAGGATTCTATTGTTAATAGGATTCTAAAAATAGTTAGTTTTTCTTCACTATAAATATATGTAATCCTCCCCATTTGTAGGACATGATTTACATACAAGATACAGAGGAAAGCACGAAAAAATACAAAGGCAAAGCTATTGTAAATGATTCGAAAAGGAAATAAAAGGTAACATATTTTTTACATTGATTCGTTCATTTCTCGCATGTGCATGTTATTTTTCTTGAGATTTGGTTTGAATAACCCAAAGCGTGGGTTGCGACGATGACCAAAAAGGGGTGGAGTTTCGAAGTTTCGAACCTAGATCAACTCCCGAGGCATGTTCATTTTTTTAAAGTATTTAATATTCCCCCTAAATCAATCTTAATCTTTAATTTACCTTGAAATTTACCCTTTAATTTTACTTTTATATTAATTGCGACCCATATATATATATATTTAATTATATTTTTTTATTTATTTACTATATTCCTTTTTTTATTTATTTTATTATTTTTATTATATATATCTTATATATATATATATATGTATAGATGTATTATTTTTCTCCATTTACTATGTATATATTTTTCTTAATATTATACTTTATACATTTTTATATATATATTTTCTTAATATTCTATTTTTGTTTTTATTTATTATATATATTATATTTTTACTTTATTTTATTTTTTCTATTATTATTTTTTCTTAATATCATGTATATCTTTATTTTTTTATTTGTTTTACTTAGTATTATATATTTATTGTTTTTATTTGTTTTAGTAAATACTACTTTATATGTACACATTATTTTTATTCATTTTTAATTTCTTTTACCTTTTTTTATTTTTTTACTCCATTAATATTTTTCCCTTTATCTGTGTCTTTATTTTTTAACATTTTATTCATTTTGTTTATTTTTATTATTATTTTTATTATTTTTACGTGTTTTGTTATTTTCCATTTTTTCTTGTTTTATTTATTATTCTCACGTTTGCACACTTGCTATCCTAATTCGATTTTATACTCCGCTACGAGTCAAACGTTTTTATCTTTTAAGTGTATTCAAATCAATCAATTGTAAGTAATTTGAATCGGGTCTGTTAAATTTTAATTTTAATTTTGAATTTTCGCAACTAAGACAACCGGCAAATTAATTGGTACCGAAAGGGCGGTTCAAGGGTGCTAATCCTTCCTTGATCGTAATCGACTCCCGAACCCGACACATTTCTGGTAAAAACGCAGATCAGGTAAGATGGTGTCCGACCCACCTAAATTCGTTTTAAAATGGTCGGTGGCGACTCCAATCCACATTTTTCAAGTCGAAGCCCAATTTCGGGGCCCAACCGAAAGATGGTTATGACAGTTTGGCGACTTCGCTAGGGACTGGTAAGTGGGTTAGGCTGAAATTAAATTTTTTGTTGTCTTTTTATGCGAAAATGGTAAATTTAAATTTAAATTTATTCATTCGATTCCAATTACTTACCTTTGATTATTTTTCAAATAAATAGTTATACTGACATTTTTTGATGATTTCATATTTTCAAAATTTTCATCTAATGCTCTATACCCGAGCTCCGAACCCTTTTAAGTGGGGTGAAAGCGACGCATTCGTGTGAATTAATTCACTATGAGGGCCTAGCAAGTAGCCTTCGGGATTCATATACCTTATGTCTTCGTGTGAATTTATTCACTGTGCGGGCATAAGGGAATGTTTCCTCTCGAGTTTAACTTAGTCCGCATAAGCGTGTAATAAGCTTAGGACTAAGGGTCTGGCAAGCCCAAGGGGGCACCATTAAGGAGAACTCAGGTACCGTTTTTTAGAACCTAAACTGGAGACTTTGAAGGAGTTAGAGCTCACCCCAAAACCTCATTTCAAACCCTAGAATGCCGTAATTATTTCCTGCTTTACTTTCTATTCAAAGCATGTGAACTAGAAATTTATGCGGTTAGGACTTGTTCAAAATCAACTTGCGGGATAGAGATCATGTCCGGGTAGGAATAATAAGCATGTGGGGTAGATATCATGTGGGGTAGGACTTTTATTTTCATGATTGTTTTTTATTATTTTCACCTCACTAACCTTTTTCATTTTTGTACTATTTTATTTTATTTTCATCATTTGCATCATTTAAAAGAGGTATTGATCCACAAAAAACGTGTTTGTTAAAACATAAATAATTCTCATTAATGGACAAAGGGGTTGTAATACAAGAGGTGAAAAACGCAGGGGTTCGGCTATGGTCAGAAAAGACTCAGAAAGAAAATGAGGACAATCTGCAAGACAACTATGTGTCACATTTGAGAAAAGTTAACTTTTCAAAAATGGGTTGACAAAGATGGCAGGGGCAAGACGAGAAAAAAAAGTTACTAACCTCGAGAGTCTATTCAAAGACGACAAAAACAATATGGCAAAACGATAATTGAATTGGAAGTCATTGTCGACAAATTCAAGAAACAAGTAAATGAACTTCGAATAATCCCTTTGATGAAGGATTTTAATGGAGTTTCCGATTCATCAAAGGATGAAAGGCAGAGATGCAGTCATTCGATACTTTTGGGAAAAAGTACAAAAAAACAGCTCGTTACTTGCACGGTTTAGCCAGAGAAGCCGGAGCGGTTCGACAGGGTATTCGACCGGTGACACACAAATGTAGAAGACTAGTCAACTTGTTTCGGGGTCTAGAGGATTTAGTCCAGATGTACCTTTAAATATGTTTATTGTCTCTTAAAAGATAAAACACTTTTGTCCCAATAAAGATTATTTATAATAACATACATGTTTTTGGATCAATGCCTCGAACATTTCATGCATTTTTGCATTTTGCATTTTGCATCTACATTTCATTTTTAAGCATTTTCATAAACATGAAATTTCTTCATGGAGGATTCGATGAAGTGGTTTTAACCACATGAAACCACATGGAAGCAAGATTGTAACATCAAAAGAAAAAATTGAAATCAGTACAGTGGGAGCCCGATCAGTTGGTTATATGACTAAGCTTGCCAGGATGATCTGAGAAAAGAGTCCACATATCCTGAGGGCTACGATGTTGAAGCTGTTAGCAGTTGCCACATAGGATGCTCCAAATATTCCTCTAAGAACTATAAGACGCTGAAGCACAAGATCCAAAACCTGATGGATTCAAGGGCATGGACAACCGAAGAAGGGGGAATTGCATATACCATTTACACCTAGAGGATTGTTTTGTTTGAATACGTCTTTGATCTTTTGCTTTGTAACACCCCCAACCCGTATCCGACCCGGATACTAGTCCGAGGTGTCACATTACCTTTTTAAAACACATTTCTTACAAAATCACAACATTTGAACTTATATTAAGAAAATACGATAATATATATATATTAATACACTTTCACCAAAATACTTAGAGCATACACAACTTAACCCTTTAGTTACATGCCAAAATCCATTTACATAACAAAATGACTTACTTATTGAGTTGCTTCTGATCTGATAGTTGCAGGAGTAATGTTGTCCAGATGCTTAACCTCGATCGTCTACTTTATCGGATCCTACGTGTGAAACACGCACACGCTAAGTCATCGACTTAGTGAGGCAATATAATAATAACAATAAAATATAAATGAATTGCCAAAATGAGATGGGTTGCAATGATAAGATGTATGTAAACAATGTAATAACCATAACTATGTTTCTTACACATATACTTATCAAATTCACATTCATAAGTTCACCTTATTAAGTTCATTATCCCATGGTACCATATTGAGAACCTAAGGTATGTGAGTATTGTGAGGTTGTGCACTATGCTGTCACCACAGCTCGTATAATTGCACCGAAGTGCCACTTAGAATTGCACCGGAGTGCCGCGTAGAATTACACTGTAGTGCCATATAATAATGTCCATAAGGACCACATATCATTCCTTAAGAATTATATACATATACTAGGGATCAAGTATGTGTCTCACAAGACTTCACACATGTTCCAAAGAATATATATATATATATATATCCCGAATGACCGCGTAGACCCTCTACCCTTGGCATGCCAGCTATACCTATAGTTCTCATCTACATAACATGGGATTTCACAATTCACATAATTTGTATCACGTAGACATATTATTTTCCTACCTTTATCACATAGACATATCATTTCCATACCTTTATCACATAACTCATATAACTGTTTCCTGCATATCCATGTCATATAATGCATATGGTATAAACTCATATCATGTTTCATAATATGTAATG